CATTTGAGATGCTGTTAGTTATGCGTTTTCTTTTCTTGGAAACAAAGTAAAATGTTTGATCAGTAATCATGATACTTGACTATTCATTTTCTGCTAATGGACTACAGTTGAAGTCAAAGCTGATGTACACCTTAGCCAAATACAATTAGGCTTAGCTCTTCACAACTCTTGACATTTAATCCTATAAACATTCCCTGTCTTAGGTCAATTAAGATTCCCAGTGGGTCAGAAGTTTACATACACTCAGTTAGTATTTGGTAGGATTGCCTTTGTTGAGCTTGGGTCAAATGTTTCGGGATGCGCCTTCCACAAGCTGCTTACCATAAGTTGCTGGAATTTTAGCCTATTCCTCCTGCTTACCATACGTTGCTGGAATTTTAGCCTATTCCTCCTGACAGAACAAGTGGAACTGAGTCAGGTTTGTAGGCCTCCTTTCTCGCACACACTTTTTCAGTTCTGCCCACAAATTTTCTATTGGACTGAGGTCAGAGCTTTGTGATGGCCACTCCAATACCTTGACTTTGTCCTTTAAAACATTTTGCCACAACTTTGGAAGTCCACTTGGGGTCATTGCCCATTTGCGACCAAACTTTAACTTTCTGGCTGATGTCTTGAGATGTTGCTCCAATATACCACATAATCTTCCTTCCTCGTGATGCCAATATATTTTGTGAAGCTGCAAACCGTAGTCTGCTCTTTTTATGGCGGTCTCGGAGCACTGGCTTCTTCCTGGCTGAGCGGCCTTTCAGGTTATGTCAATAAAGGACTCATTTTACTGTGGATATACAGTGGATATAAAAAGTCTACACACCCCTGTTAAAATGCCAGGTTTCTGTGATGTAAAAAAACGAGACCAAGATAAATAATTCCAGAACTTTAGCCACCTTTAATGTGACCTATAACTTGTACAACTCAATTGAAAACAAACTGAAATCTGTTTTTCAGTGGGAAGTAAAAATAAAAAACTAAAATAATGTGGTTGCATTAGTGTGCACACCCTTAAACTAATATTTTGTTGAAGCACCTTTTGATTTTATTACAGCACTCAGTCTTTTTGGGTATGAGTTTATCAGCAATGCACATCTTGACTCTGCAATATTTGCCCACTCTTCTTTGCAAAAACGCTCCAAATCTGTCAGATTGCGAGGGCATCTCCTTCGCATCCTACAGCAAAAGCCATGGTCCGCAGAGAACTTCCAAAGCATCAGAGGGATCTCATTGTTAAAAGGCGTCAGTCAGGAGAAGGGTATAAAAGAATTTCCAAGGCATTAGATATGCCATGGAACACAGTGAAGTCAGTCATCATCAAGTGGAGAAAATATGGTGCAACAGTGACATTACCAAGAGCTGGACGTCCCTCCAAAATTGATGAAAAGACAAGGAGAAAACTGGTCAAGGAGGCTGCCAAGAGGCCTACAGCAACATTAAAGGAGCTGCAGGAATTCCTGGCAAGTACTGGTTGTGTAGTACATGTGACAACAATCTCCTGTATTCTTCATTTGTCTGGGCTATGGGGTAGAGTGGCAAGACGGAAGCCTTTTCTTACAAAGAAAAATATCCATGCCCGGTTACATTTTGCAAACACACATTTGAAGTCTCCCAAAGGCATGTGGGAAAAGGTGTTATGGTCTGATGAAACCAAGGTTGAACTTTTTGGCCATAATTCCAAAAGGTATGTTTGGCGCAAAAACAACACTGCACATCACCAAAAGAACACCTTTCCCACAGTGAAGCATGGTGGTGGCAGCATCATGCTTTGGGGTTGTTTTTCTTCAGCTGGAACTGGGGCCTTAGTCAAGGTGGAGGGAATTATGAACAGTTCCACATACCAGTCAATATTGGCACAAAACCTTCAGGCTTCTGCTAGAAAGCTGAAGATGAAGAGGAACTTCATCTTACGGCACGACAATGAGCCCAATCTGACAGATTTGGAGCGTTTTTGCAAAGAAGAGTGGGCAAATATTGCAGAGTCAAGATGTGCATTGCTGATAAACTCATACCCAAAAAGACTGAATGCTGTAATAAAATCAAAAGGTGCTTCAACAAAATATTAGTTTAAGGGTGTGCACACTAATGCAACCACATTATTTTAGTTTTTTATTTTTACTTCCCACTGAAAAACAAGATTTCAGTTTGTTTTTCAATTGAGTTGTACAAGTTATAGGTCACATTAAAGGTGGCTAAAGTTCTGGAATTATTTATCTTGGTCTTGTTTTTTTTACATCACAGAAACCTGACATTTTAACAGGGGTGTGTAGACTTTTTATATCCACTGTAGATGCTTTGGTACCCGTTTCCTCCAGTGTCTTCACAAGGTCCTTTGCTGCTGTTCTGGGATTGATTTGTACTTTTCAAACCAAAGTACGTTTATCTTTAGGAAACAGAACGCGTCTCCTTCCTGAGCGGTATGATGGCTGCGTTGTCCCGTGTTGTTTATACTTGCGTAGTATTGTTTGTACAGATGATTGTGGTACCTTCAGGCATTTGGAGATTTCTCCCAAGGAAGAACCAGACTTGTGGAGGCCCACAGTTTTTCTGAGGTCTTGGCTGAATTCTTTAGATTTTCCCATTATGTCAAACAGGTACTGGGTTTGATGTATAAGCCTTATAATACATCCACAGGTGCACCTTCTATTGACTCAAATGATATCAATTAACCAATCAGAAGCTTCTAAAGCCATAACATCATTTTCTGGAATTTTCTAAGCTGTGTAAAGACACAGTCAACTGAGTGTATGTAAACCTCTGACCCCCTAGCATTGTGATACAGTGAAATAATCTATCTGTAAACAACAGTTGAAAAATGTACTTGTGCCATGTATAAAGTACCCGTCTTAATGAACATGCCAAAAGATGTTTTTTTTTTTTTAACATGACATTTGTGGAGTAGTTAAAAAAAAAAATTCAATTTTAATTAAGTGTATGTAAACCTCTGACTTCAACTATAATTCATTAGTCAAGTGATTGTTGCAGCTCTAGTTTTGCTCAAATGACTTGGTTGTGTGTGCTCTGCCGTCTTTACATTATGCAAAACATTTCACATCTGCTGGAGCTATATAAATAAATGGTTCCACCACATGGTTTACATGCACTACTGAAAGTTGGATACAAACGGTTTACCAAGGTGAATTTTGTTTGCTCCCATGTGCTGTCTATTACAGCATTATTGTAGTATTACTGTGTCCAGTAGCTGTTGTATTTGTTAGGCCTATTTGTGTTCTGAGAGAAAGCACAAGTTCTTATAACTGAATATACTCGGGATAACTCGGATGCTACAGATAAGCAAGACTTGCAACAGACCGGCTGTCAGGAATGGATAACCTCCTGCTAACCTTGAGCTGTAATAAGGTCTGCTCCTGTTGTCGGGGATTCAGGTGGGCAGAGGAAGATGGGGGTTTCAGTGCATTAAACACCGCAGGGGGCACAGGCTGGGCTGACAGATTGTACCCCCCACCTCTCCCACCGCTTCATGTTGGCATCTTGAAGCACTGCTGCCTGACAGCTTGTCTGGCTTTTCCTGGTGTTGAGCACAGGGGGGCTGGAATCACCATAATATGGAATATGGCATAGCCACATCTATCTTTGCATAATTCATAATGTTCAGTTTTTGTTGACATTGTTGGAAATATGTAATTTATCTTATAGATGTCATAGTCGTTTGACATTTTTCCTGTTTACATGAAACAACATCAACTATAACCTCACTGTTCTGATGGGATAAAAAAACAGAACATTATGTGAATCTAAGAAGGTTTTGTGGCACAACAGTTGTATTTGTTGCATAAAGCCATTATGAGCATTTATACTTGCGCGCTGGTGTGTCTGTCACCTTGAAATTGCACTACGCTAGTTGGCCGTGGGGTTTCAGTGTGTTGCAATTTTGAGTGCACAATGAGTGTACATTTGCTTGGAATCACTGAACATAGATTTGTGAAATAAAGTTATCCAGTTCAATTCAAAGTATACTCTATTCTATATACAGTGATACTGAGCTATACCCAACCTCAACTCATATTGCCTTCCTGTGTTTAAATTCATAAACTTTGAAGAGTGCATGGTGTGCATACACACTGAGGGGAGCATCTTGGTTTAAAAATAAAGTCAAATTAATAATTCACTTTTCTACACCTTCAGAAGAGTCTAATTAGATAGGAGGGGGAAGTCCAAACTTTTGAGACTAACTGCTGGGATCCTCAATAATTGCTGAGCTTGCAGTTGTAAACCATGCATGCGTGTGCGCGTGCACACTTTTGTCTCTTGGAAACAGTCCAGTAGACAAAAGCAAGAAAAGTGAATGTAGTCTCCTCTCTCCTTGCTTTCAGTTCTGCCTGTCTTATCTATTATCTGGACATCTGTCTTCACATACAGTATTTCTGATGGTATTACAGTTACACAATGTTGCTATCATCTTTGTGTCGGCTTTCTCAAAGGTCCGGTGTCTCTGAACATCTACTTGTATTTGCCTCAGAACAAGATGAACTGGAATAAAAATACCAGTAGCCAGAAGCCTATTGAGTTCATAGGGTTTATCCTACTGCTCAAAGATTTGTCTCCCTTTGTGAGTATGTTGGTGATGGTGGGATGTACACTGGCTCATTTTCACCATATCAACACCAGGCTTTCCCATTATTTGCCCACAGCAACTAGAGCTCATTATAGCAGCCAGACAGATATGTTTTCAGTTTGTACAAAATAGGCAGAGAGGGCTGTGTGTGTCAGTGAGCAGCAGACTATGTATTGTTATTGGGCTCTGTATTATACTGGCTTAATGCATGCACAGCATTTCAATTGAATATCTAGAAACGTGATAACAGTCTGAATGTGTGAAGAGCTTGTAACTTGTACATCTTTGTCTGACACACTTCATGAACGTGCTCATTTTGTCTTTGTTTTACAGTGTTGAATCCAACTCCAGCACTCGCGTTGGTTCTTGTCACTTTAACCACTATATCGTCTGTTAATCAGGGGAACTAATTATAGGTTTTCTTTGTCTGTTTCAGAAATCGAGCGATAGCCGATTATCTACGTTCCAATGGGTATGAAGAGGCATATTCCACTTTCAAGAAGGAGGCGGAATTAGATAATGTGAGTAGATTAAGGATGGACACATACATCCGCACAGCCAATCAGACCAATTTAAACAAACAATATGTCTTGATTTGTACTCAATTTCTCACTTGAGTTAACATGTTCGAGTGTGACCGGGAGCACCTGCACCTAATTATGGTGGTCTGTCTGATTAGGGGCTCTGCTACATGCTCCTGCTAACTGATTGTGAAGAAAGCTTTTATCCACTTGTAAATATTGCAATTACAATACCACTGTGACATTTAATTAGTTATGTGTTGTGTCACGCACACACAAGTACCCAGCCCACTTGGATGTTTCGGACATCAACAAATACAGTTGCAGTGGTGAAATGTTTGTCAAACATGAACATAAATTCTTACGTACATTGTAAAAGAACAACTTCTGTCCCAGGCTCTACAAATAAAATCAACCACACAAAAGGTTCCTTTCATGTAACACTGCTAAGGTTTCTTATTTATCAAAAATTAATAACATTTTATTTTCAGTGTGCCACATCATTAAACTTTGCGTACTTGTGTGTTATGTTTGTAAAATGTGGTTTGGTTTTGTTCAGAGTGAATTCTATGTTCTTTACCTTAGTCGTTTGTGTAGCAGGTTTTAAGCTTAATGGTGTGTACTAGCAGGTTTTCATAGGAAGTCGTGCTCTGGTTTTACCTCATCTTGTGAAAGAAAACGTATATATCTAGATGAACACACATTCAAGCACACACTGCACATTGACTGGCAGGCTGCACTGAAGTCTGGCATGTTGTTTTATGTGTCCCCCCCTGTCTGCTTGTGTGTGTTGGTGTAATGAGCAGAGTGTCCAGGCAGATGGCAGATTAGATGATGGCAGACTTGTTCAAACTAGGTTCCCTTCTCTCTCTCTCTCTCTCTGTCTGTTTTCTCCTTCCTGCCTCTGTAGTGCCTCAGTTCATATCTTTTTATACACCTCGTGTTTGTCTGAGGAATCACCTCTTGTTATTGAGAAGTGTTAAACATAGGTGCTGGCGCTGCCTGCAACAGTACTCGCCTTGAGGATGTCTGCTTTTGTTTCCAGCCAAGGCTGAGGATCTAGCTGTGAAATTGGAGTGCAGCACTAATTTTCTCCTTCACTGACACTCGTGGCTGTCTGTCAATGTGGGTTTTTGATGCTTTGATAGCTAATATCAGCTTCAGGGCATGGATATACACACAGTGCCACCAAAACAGTTGGATTGTGTTCATAGAATAAGATTACACAAGGCAGAAATTCAGTTTTATTACTCTTTGTCTGTGTATTTTAAATATTATACTGTTTATTTAATTATATTTAAGATATTACTTTTTATAGGCACTGTATACAGTTTGTGATTTATTTGCCAATCATTTTCTCAATTTAGTGGATAAATTGTGTGGTCTATAAAATATCGGGAAACAGCAATAAATAGCATCACAGTATAATGCAGCACCATGTGATATCTTATCGAATCAACAGTCCAGAACTGAAAAAAAGTTGCATTTTGTCTAATGTAAGATCAAGAAAAGCAACATATTCTCATATTTGAGAAGCTGGAGCCATCAAATATTTGCCATTTTTTCCTTAAAAACAAACCAATGATCAGTTGATCAGATCAAGGTGTGTGTGCACCTTGAAGTTGTTTATGTAAAAGGTGGCACTGAAGTCATGGTGTTGGCCTGCAGGTGGAATCAGGGACTGGCACAAGTTGACTTCCACCACTGCCTGCACTACTGGGTGTGTGGCTGTAAGCTGCCTAAGCCTTTCTTGTCTGCTGAAGATTAGCTTGTGTAAGAAGGATTAGAGCTAGGGTGTGCGTTTGTGTGTGTTAAGTGTGCAGTAGGTTGGCAGTGTGTGGCAGTCATCATTGGCCTGTGATTGGTGTGTAAATAATTCCCTGTTTTTTCTTACTATAGTCAAAGACCTCAGCATCCCAACCCAGCTGGTCCCCTTCCCACAGGCCGCACTAATAATGCCGAGTCCACGATTGTGATTGGCTTTCATTGTTCAATTAGCTGATCTCTTCTTTCTCCCCCCACCCCCACCCCTTTGCCACAGAATGAAGAATTGGATAAGAAGTATGCCGGCCTTTTGGAAAAAAAATGGACCTCAGTCATCAGATTACAAAAGAAGGTTTGGGGGGGTTTTCCTTGTCAAACAGTGCTTGTAGTCTTGTGAATGGTTTGTGACATTGGCTGCTGTGATGGTGAAAGGAAGTCTACCAAAAAAGAGTATTAACCTGACCATTAATTTGTTTAAAATGCACACTTCAGCAAACCTAACACCTTTTAAATCTTATGTTTAATCAGTGTTTGCATTCCCTCACTGGTGTTAGTTATGTGTGCATATTACTTTCTGCTGCTACACTGTTAACTTGTACCTGTACATTCTATGTAGGTGATGGAACTTGAATCCAAACTGAATGAAGCTAAGGAGGAGATCACCCTGGGTGGGCCTGTAAGTCAGAAGCGTGACCCCAAAGAGTGGATTCCACGTCCACCAGAAAGGTACGCATTGAGTGGCCACCGCAGTCCAGTCACCCGTGTTATCTTCCACCCAGTCTTCAGTGTCATGGTGTCAGCTTCTGAGGATGCAACAATAAAGGTCAGTTTGTCAACAAATTTGTTGCATAGGTTGTGTTAACATAGATTATGGAACTAATGTTCTTCATGTTTATATTAATTGAAATGTTCAACAGTTTTTCAGGGTTTTCATACCATGTCCTGCAGAGAGCTGGGGGTCTGCAAGTTTCCCATGTAAAAACTGCAGCCGGTGATTTCATTGGTTACTTTATTCTCTCAGGCAGAATGTGTGCAAATCAGGAAAACTGCTTCTTAAGCCTGTAATAAAACCTGCACAGTTGTGCTCCTCCTCCTCACATGATACGTTCTGTGCATCTACTCATGTTTCAATTCAACATAGCCATCTGTTATGTACTTAAATTATGCACACCTCTCCATACATTATAAGGTTTAGAAAGCCATAATTGATAACAGAGGCCTTGATGATAACTGTTGTTAGTTTTATCAGAGTTTGTAAGCCTGTCAGTTTTCCAGGAATGAAGAGCAGCTGCCGTGCTTGTCTGACATTTTGGTTTTTACAATATTTTTCACTGTGGAATGGGTATAAATTTTGCAGTGGCCAAATGGCTATGGCGGTGTTTTTTCCTTGGACTTGGATGTGAAGCTCTCTGTATTTGTAGAACTTATCCAGTCACAGTGGTTGTCATGCCTTCATCAGATCAGATGGAGCTTTCAGCTCTCATTAGCATGAGAGCAGTAAAGTTACAGCCGCAGTGTATTTTAGCAGTGTGACACAAACTCTTGTCAGCCCCTACCTACTCTTCTGTCATGTGATTTTCACTGAAAGTAACTACACCCTCAAATTTTATTACAGGCCTTTCTCACTATTTTTATGCTTCTGAACTGGTGATGGCACAGTCGCCATGGCCAGAGGCATTGTGTTTTCGGATTGTCCATACATCCATCTGGCCCATTCTTGTGTAGCCTGGACAGCAAAGCAGATCTCGCAGTCAGAGCTAATTAGCCATGAGAAGCAGCCGTCTGATTTTCATTTTCTTTGCTGGAAAGTGTGGTGAAGCCCTGACTGTATCACTAGAAGTGCATTTACAACCCTTTGGGAGTCCCTCTGTGTCCCTGCGTTGCCGTGTTACTATATGAGGCTCTCTGATATATGCCTGCGTGGGAGTATTGGTGTGCAGCCTTAGCCCTTCTGTTAATAATGGTTCATGTTACTTTTTGTTGGCGCTAAATATCATGTCAATCTCTGAATACAACGCAGTTATTGACGGACCCTTGTGTTTACCCCTACTGCATAAGAATAAATCTTATTCATATTCAGTATTATTTTTGGACAGTCTTTATTGTGGAGGTGAATAAATCAGTGCTAATGCTGTCAGGTTCAATTGTTTTCTACAACAATTCTTTCTACAAACCATTTGTTCAGTGTACAAACACCTTCCAGCTACATACAGATAGCACCGCTGTGTCTCTGTGTGGGTAATATTTGAGTATGCTAAGGTTGTAATTGAACCATGTTTGGGCTAAAACAGGAACTTGTGTTTATAGAAACATAACACTGCACCAACAGTATGGTTTCAAAGACAAATAGTTTAAATAAAGATGTATCTGTGACTTCCCTTCCTAGACACGCCCTGGATTACATGTCTCTCTCTGTCATGGGTGTATCCCTAGTTTCCATATATAAACTCCATGGTCTATTTTTGCAGCACCGTCTCTCTCTTGCCTCACTGCACAATGACAATACTCTGAGAGCTGTTTGTTCTGTATATTTTATTCATGAGACAATAAAGAGACATGTACATCTCCTCCTTGGCTGCACCCACACAGCAAGGATCCCTCTCCCTGTTTTGGCATCTTGCTTTTCCAACCCCACCCCTCCCTCCTTCTGCAGCCCCACCCTCCAGCATCCTGCCTCATTTATCTGCCACTTCAAGCACCAGCTGCCCCATCATGATTACCCTCATGAAGAGTCAGGCCTGTGGCCCCTGCTTTTCTGCACCTCTTTCCTGACTTTTTTTTCTTTCCCAGTGCCTGAAAATCGGGCAGAACTGCAATTTTGCTCTTTTAATTAATTTCTTTTGTTAGTTGACTTTTTATTTGTTGGACAAAACACATAATTTTTTTGCCCTTTTGTGTTCTTACCTGTTCATGTTTGTGTTGACCTCTTAGTTTTTCCAGTCTCGGGCCCTTTATCCTCCCCCTCTTTTCCATTGTCCTCCTGACGTGGCAGATCTTTGCATGGCAACATGTTACCTTTGAACTCAGCTCTAACCTTTCACAATATGTAAATCAGCACACCTAGAGCATAGAGCTGTGCTCACTCAGACATGTCAGCTGGCTAAGTTATTTTACATGGGGGAGGGGAGCTTAGGTGTAAGCTTACACATTTCTTACTTCATAAATGGGCCATAGAACAAAAGTCTTTGTATAACTGCTGGCTTTTTGGTAGCTGCTTAAATAATGCCCTGGAGAAATGCCAGTAAGAATCTTCAGTCTTGCAGCACAGAGTTACAGGTAGAATTTAGATGCTGTTGAATGCAAGTACACTGTTAGACCAGTTGTTCCTCCAAACACAATAAGTGCATTGATCCTTTCCAGCATAAACCCCCCTTGTGTACCTTATGGCCATCTGCACTGTCTGGAGCTTCCTTTAATGGACAGAGGGGAAGAACGGGGGGTGCAGGGTTCCTGTCACCCATTTTCCCCCACCCCAAAAGAAGAACCAAGGAGGACTTATCCCTTTGTGGCAAATCTTCTGTCTGCTTGAAAGCCAGAGACACAACAGTTTTTATCAAGCTAGCAAACCAGGTTCACTACTATTCACCCCAGATTCTGTTTGTGCTATAACAGGCAGCACTGTACTTGGCGCAATAAACTGTCTCTTGGGTTTTATTGGGGCTAACTGTAACCCTAATCAGCATCCTGGCACATGCATCTCTGCCATTAGCAACAGCAATGTGTCATGGATGCAGTAATTCAATACACAAAGAATGTGTGGTGGGTGCAAACTGTGAGCTCTAAGATGAATATCATGGCAGAGTAAGTTTTAGTATTTCTGCCAACAGCATGTCTCATTGTTAGGGCTGCAACTTTGCTCAGCAGTTTGGGTCTCTCCTCTCAGCTTGTTTTGGCTGCCGGTCTGCTCAGCTGAGACACTAGGGGACATGGGGCAGCAGATGATGTGGCATTTGGGGGCTTTGCTGTGGTTTGGAAATGGATTGAGTTTGAAATGAACAGCATAAGTGATATCTCACTGACATGCAGACTGGGGTTAGGTGCAGCTGTCAGTAACATTTGTATGTTCCTCTAAAGATGATGCAAGAATGTGCTTTCTTCATCAGGTGTGGGACTATGAGACGGGAGACTTTGAACGCACACTGAAAGGTCACACAGATTCGGTGCAGGACATCTCATTTGACCAGACTGGCAAACTGCTAGCATCCTGCTCTGCAGACATGACTATCAAGCTGTGGGATTTCCAGGGCTTCGAGTGTATCAGGACCATGCATGGTAAGAAGACACAACAGTGTATGTCTTTTAAGAAGTGTGGAGGTGCTGACAATAGTACACAACTGCTACCATTTATATCATCTATGTGAACATGCTCTGTTATGGCTCACACATTATTGCCTTATGAATGTAGCTGTGGGCAGGGCTCAGGTGGCACAGATGCTGTTCGTTATCACGTTTGATGCTGCTGATGAGGCTCTCTGCTCCATTTCACAACACCCTATGCTGAGATCCAGCTTTGACAAATGAATCTGTTTAGCCATAGTACCCACAGTACTCCCCACACTGCAGCACAGTGTATTCCTACAGACATTTGCATCCAGCTCTTTTTATAATGTAATAATTTAAATGGTAAAAAACTCATTATAGTAAGCCAATCGATATTCCTTTTTCTTGTCTGAGAAGCTAATGTGCCATTGGAGTAGACCTTTGGCACACACACACCCTTTATACCCTAATTATCAGATTAATTGATGGCAGCGTAGCTTACATGTGCCCTCAGGCCATACTGATTCTGAGGCAGTGAAATCATGTTTTCTCTTGTTGGAATTGTGAGAATGCTCCTGACCAACCATCCAGCAGCCCAAACACAAGCCTCTCTTACGCAGATTCCACTTTATTTGTGATAAGCTGGCCTGTTTTTATTGCGACTTCTTCCATTTACACTGAACAAAACAAAAATGGCATTGTTGTGAGCCACTGGCATACTTCGTTAAACAAACAAGGCACGGCCGCACTGTAAAGAAAACACGCAACATGTAATACTTTCAGTTAAACTGAGCCTGATGTCTTAATGTTTTCCCCACCATTTCTCCTCCATCCTCTTTTTTTACCCTGTTGTTATCCACTTTTAATTCATCTACCCAACCTTTCCTGCTTTTCTTTATCCACTCCTCCTCTTTTCACATCTTTAAAGAACATGAGTCTGACTGGTGAAGCAGATGAGTGCAGTTTTGGACAGCAGGGTTAATTATCCTCTTCAGCGCTACATAGCACTTTTCTGTGTGGCTGTCACCCATTATTATAGCCTGATGGCATGTGTGTGCGCACACAGACACACATCCACCCATCCACCCATCCACCCAAAGCTAAGCTGGCCTTTTAGAGTATACTTAATAGTGTCTTCATCTGTTTAGCAGCTTGAATATGGCCCAGCATCTAGGTAATTAGGCATCTCTTATTCCCCGTGGAGCATAGTAAACCCCAGCAAATTGGCTGCCTCGCTTATCATTTATTTGGCAAATTATGACCAAACCACCACTTCTTGGCACTGTTGTGGATAAAGATGTGTAAAAATCATTGATAAATTTTGAATAAATATTAAAGGGAAAGCATGTTACTTTCCAAAAAGATTAAATAACATTTTACACAGGCTCCAAATATTGCTCAGAAAGCTTTATAATGGGCTCTGACTGAGTCATTGTTTTTGTGTTTTCTGTTTTCTAGGACATGACCACAATGTATCGTCTGTAGCTATCATGCCCAATGGAGATCACATTGTTTCTGCCTCAAGGGACAAAACCATAAAAATGTGGGAAGTGGCAACTGGGTACGCACAGTCCAAACCACCTTTAAACCATTTTTTACAATCCACTGTGTATGAATCAGCTCTGACAGGCTGAGAACTCTTCTCCTTTTCTGTTTGTTAGCTACTGTGTGAAGACCTTCACAGGCCACAGGGAGTGGGTTCGTATGGTGCGGCCCAACCAGGATGGCACACTCATTGCCAGCTGTTCTAATGACCAGACAGTGCGAGTGTGGGTCGTGGCCACCAAGGAGTGCAAGGCTGAGTTGAGGGAGCATGAACATGTGGTGGAATGCATCTCGTGGGCACCTGAGAGCGCCTACCCCACCATCCTAGATGCTACCAACTCCGAGGTAAAGAGTTGCGCCGACCTTTCCTCATTTCTCCACTACTTCTTCGGGTCTGGAGTGTTTTGGTTTAAGGTTTACCTAAGTTGCACTGTAGCATTTAGTGTGTTTTCCTGATGGGCCAGTAGCTCAAAGGTCAACTCGCCTTGTGTTTCATGTTTGGTATCAGGTGGTGAACAGGTGATCAATCATGAAAGCACAACAGAGCAGACAGTGGATCAGTATGAGCTCCATTAAAGTGCGATAACTGTCACTGGTGAGAAATTGGTGGTGCTAGAATCATAAGAGCATAGTTGTTACTGTACAGCCATGTGCTGACAGTCATGCACACAGAGCATGGTGATGGAGCTCCGGTGCTCCCCAGAGTGAAAGCCGACCTAACAGGTAGAATTGTAATGTGTCAAGGCAGCATCAATGAAAAATTTATACATGCACACTGACTCTAAGCCGCAAAATATATTCAGATGATGTCAGTTTGATCCCGGGTAGATCTTTGTTACTAATGGGCAAAATGGCAGTTTTATCTAATTAAAATTGGGTCTGAAACATGAAGTGTGCACAAAGTGAAGTGGTCTGAACACTTTCTGAAGCCAGTGTATATGACAGGCTATATAATGACATGTGGCTATCCATCTAACTTGCCCAGGTTGGTGAACAAGTAAAAATGATCAACAATACATCAAAATGTCAACAAACTAATAGAAAACTAATAGCTATAGTTTTGAGAAAGACTGAAAAAGTATCTTAAAGTGAAAATATAATCAAATAGAGCCCCTTAGAGGTCAGTTCTCACTTGTGCTGCTTCTCAACAGCCTTGCACACCCCTTCAATTATGTACCCAGGCACACAAGGTTTGTGATTTATTGTGCTCACTCTGTGAAAAACAGACTGATGGCCACGTGAAAGGAAGAGTGTGCATGCATGCACACACAGAAAGAATATCAGCATGGCCTTGAGTCAGCCCAGACTCCCTCCCCATACCTTGTGATCTCAAGTATGTCCAGTTGTAGCCTTGTTAAATTCAAACGGTATTCTCCTTTGCAGCAGTTGTCCCAGTCTAACCTGTGTGTGATGAAACATTGTTCACCCACACAGCAGCATTTTTTTAAAATTTCTTACCTGAAGTAAAACATGCACAGAAGTTTTGCCAGTGAAATACATCGATGGAGTTGACAACAGATATTTGCACATGTGCTCTCAAACCAGTTGCCAGCAACGTAAAACACTCACTCGCCCCCATGTATTTTATCTGGGATGCTCGACTGCTCTTTGTTCTGGATCAGTGATTGTCTGATATTTATTTATTTATTTTGTTCAGTCATTTTACAGTAAAACATTTAAACAGGCCAAAGCAGTGAAACACAGCCACTTTAGTACAGTCATCATTGATGCAGTTAAAACTACTAGGCATATGATGAATGTTGGTTCCATTAAGTTCTTTGTTATTGTACCACCACCAGTAGTTGGTGTAGAAGTTTATGAATTTATTTAAGCAAATCTTGATTGGTCCACTGGTGAGGAGGGAAGTGAAAATGACCGACCGACCATCCATCCATTATCTATACCACTTATCCTAACAGGTCCCCAGTTTATCACAGGGCTGGCACTTAAGAGACAAACAACCACACTCACTCCTATGGGCAATTTAGAGTCACCAATAAACCTAAGCTGCATATCTTTGGACTGTGGGAGGAAGCCAGAGTACCCAGAGAGAACCTAGGCAGGCATAGGGAGATCATGCAGACTCTGCACAGAAAAGTCCTGGGTCGGCCGGGGCTCAAACCTGGAACCTTCTTGCTGTGAGGAAACAGCGCCAATCACTGCACCACTGTACCACCCATATAAAAAATGTTTTTTTCTTTTCTTTTCTAGTCTAGTGAAGCAGGAACCAAGGATGACAGCACAGTGCTGTTCCTTAAAAATGATATTGCTTAAAATAGCTTTTAATATTTGCTCTTTGATTCTGCTTTAAAAATCAGGTGACAGTTTTGAGACTCAAGTTTTTGACTACAAATGTGTAATGTTCTCTGTTATTGCTGTTTCTTTTTTCCTCTGTTTGCCTATCAGACCAAGAAGAGTGGTAAACCAGGCCCCTTCCTGCTTTCTGGCTCCAGAGACAAAACCATCAAGATGTGGGATGTTAGCATTGGCATGTGCCTTATGACATTGGTGAGGAACATACAAAGAGGCTTTGGTACATTGTTTAATTTGTATGTGTATTAAAATTTTTGGATGAGTGAAAACATTTAGCTTCATCAGCGAAATGAACTGGGTTGCAACTGGTGTCAGCAGCAGTGTTTCTGCCTGTGTCATAGGTGGGTCATGACAACTGGGCGCGTGGGGTCCTCTTCCACCCTGGAGGCAAGTTCATTGTGACCTGTGCAGATGACAAGACCTTAAGGATCTGGGACTACAAGAACAAGCGCTGCATGAAAACCCTGTGTGCCCACGAACACTTTGTTACCTCTCTGGGTAAGCAGCCCCCCCCCACAAAAAAAAAAACACATGCACGCACACACACAAAAGGGCTGTTTGGACTTTTGGCACACCAGGAAACCTCTGTGTGCCACTCTGGTTGGATCACAGTGCCAGACTCCCAAATATCTCCTTTAGAAAAAAAGCCAGCAATAAGCTGAGGGTCCTCAGGGCTGCTGCCAACTGGAGTTTAAGCAGGTGACAAGAGCTGCAGGATTTTCCCACCTCCCCTCCTCCTGTCTCTGGATTTTTAGGAGATTATAGCTCAAGAACTGTCTGGAGGAGCTCCTCAGCCAGCTTTTCCTTGATGGGCTGTAGGAGACCCGGTCCTTTTAAATCCTGCTTCATCCACAGAGGATATTGCTGTGAGCTAAGGGTGTGATGTGGAAAAGATAAAGTGCTTTTGTTTAAAGTTGCTCAAAAAAAGTAACTTCCCCCCTCATTTTTAGCCAACATAGAGCTAAAGAACACAAAGCTAGACAGTGGTAGCTTTTTATAATGTTTTTTCATGATGTTTGGAGAAATATGCTGTTATAGGAGTTACTTCTACAAGTCAGGTTTGATAGGCTCAAGTTAGAGGTGACAGAAAAAGAGAGAGAGAGGAGGGATGATGTGCAATGATGGCCCCTGGCCTGACTCACCTGAGGAATGCTGTCATTACACTGTCATTCTTGGCAGCCAGGTGCCCCCAGTAAGTTGACCAGTAATGTCAGCAATGCTTTGCACACTTTTCATTTTAATGAATGCAGCTGTTTGAACGTCTCTGACACAAGAACATAATGTCTATCTTGTCCAGCTGGAGGAACCAGCCATCAATGAGCACAACACCAGAACTGGTTACAAGTAACTGTGAATGTATGCACCTGAACAACTGATAGGTGTGAGACAAAACAACCGGCAGTGTTGTCAACTGTTGACAGCAGACTGGAATTTGTTTACCGATTTTATACGTGTGTCTTTGCTTCTTTACAGCTTTTCTCTTCATTTCTTTGTATCTTTGTATAGTCTCCTAACTCGACTCCTCTGCAACTCTCTCTGGGCTCCATTCAGAGGCCAGTTGTATTGCTGTGGTGGCAGAGGGGGGGGAAACTTCTCAAGTGTATGTTTGATCTGTGGGACACACTGATAAATGTGTGCAGTAGTCAAATTGCATTAATTCATCTGTTGTTCTTATAGTAAGCAGAGTCTTCTCCTGTGGCCATATTCTGATGACTGTTTTTTTCCACAGATTTCCACAAGACTGCTCCCTACGTGGTCACTGGGAGTGTAGATCAAACGGTAAAAGTGTGGGAGTGTCGCTGATCTGGACCTTTTTGAGGGTTGGACCACCATCACAGTTGCTCCTCCTGCCATCCCCTCTCCTCCCCTTCACCTAACCCTAAGTCTCACCCACACAACCTCCTCTCCTCTGGCTGCACTTAACACCATGGTTATTTCCCCTTTGCACTCTCTGGTCCAGTAACTTTTGTCCTATGTAAATTATTCCTGGTTGTAGATGAAGCTATTAAATGTTACACAAAAAAAGTATTCTTGCATGGTAATCCAAAATTGTATACTGTAAATTTACATAATATTGTCTAGAAGTACCATAGGTTTAACACAGGCTGGCCGTCTGTCACGCAGCCTTACCGACCAGCTGAAGGCGTTTTTTTTTGTTTGTTTGTTTTTTTGAAACTGGGTGTAAAATGTAGGGCACTAAAACCCCAATAATTTAAGAAATGACAGTGTCTTTATGTGTAAGATTTATTTTTGTCTATTTTTTTATTTAGGACATCTGTTTGCTTTTCTCTCCTTCACTGTTGTAGTCTGTTGGTGCCTAGATTGGTGCAACGCTTAAGAGATGAGGCAGGAAAAGGGTATACAACGTGATACGATCGTCCGTGGGGCTTTGTTATTGAAATAATCTGTAGCTTTATAACATCAGTTCTCAAGTGTGCATACCATTTCTCTTCATGTGGATCAAGGTAATATTTTAATGACTGTATATACAAATGTTTCAAACTATTGTCCTCGGGGGCTTAAAAACAGCTTTGTACTCTTGTCGTGGTGGCAAATGTACCACTGCTAGGCTTTAGGTAGATTATCCTGTTTAATCAATCTGCAGTGAAGAATATGAAGTTGAAGTGCTGAAAAGTGGCTTTGCGCTGAGCTGTTCACCAGAATCCCAGTGTAGCGAGTTTGTTTGGCTAGGGTCAGTGAGCGCCGTGGGTCAGAGCAGTACCTGAGCTAAATTAAGGGATTACACCACCTCAGTTTTCTAGCACATGACAAAGACTCTGGTCGTGTCTCTCTTTAGCGGAGGGCTTCCTGTGACATTGCAGTGTCAGATTTTTGTTGAACTGAGCCCTCATTCCGCTTGTAGCTCCCCTGACCAATCAGTCCTGGCAGGGATTGGCATACCATAGGAATTGTGTAAAGTTAGAAGATGCTTGGCTGACCCATGATGCTTCTGAAGGCTACAGACATGAGCCCCGTGTGAAATAAGACGGCTAAAGAGAAAACAATGGCGTAACAAGAAGTCAAAGTGAGCCCCCTGGGTTTGTTACCTGGGATGTGCAAAGATCTCTAATTTCTGAGGGGTGAAATATGTTCTGCATAATAAAGATGACTGAGTTTTCTGTGAAAATATGAGATGTAAATTTAGCTTGTGAAGACATTTGGCAGTTTTGTATCATAGCAACTAAAATGATGAACTGGGGTTTGGGATCAGTGAGGAAATGCTAGCAGCAGATATGCAAAATGATCTGTTGATGCTGTTTTGTCTGGCGAACGGTCTGTTGTGGGGGGGTTTTGTTGTTGTAAAGAGCTCCTCACTGTGCAGCTCCTGGATCAGATGTGGAGCATGCTGAAGCCTGAGCATTGAGGATTTCTACAGACAAACCTCACAGACCGTCTCATGTAGGCAGACATCCTTTGAGTGGCTTTCCTCGTATGTTCAGCTTTTGATCTTCGTTGAGCTGAAACTGTAAAACGGATATTTTTGGAAAGACTGGAAAATACGCAAAGCCAGTCCATGCTGTAGAAACAACCATTCCACTCCCTTTGGAGGACAAAAAAATGAAACATCTTGCTTCTAACGGTAGCTGGCAAGATGATTCATTAATTTTGCACATCCCTGTTTTCACTAAATCTTTGGTCCTTTAATGACGATCAAAGATGACGTTAAAAGTTGATGGTGTTGATAAATGCGTAAACCTATAATTTCAGTTTAGCCTTTTCATTCCAGTGCAGTTGGCTAATAAAGAATTCCATTGCTTAACCGATCTTCTTTTCTTAGCTTCTTTGCCAGGTTTTCATCTTCCTGTTTGTACTGGATGTGGTGATCTGCTGCTCCTGCTATAGTGGCTACTGTGAGCCTAATGTGACTTGTTGATGTAGCACTGCTGCATGTAAAGCTGCACCAGAGGCAGAGCTGTCAGAACAGTAATCTTTGAAAAGCTCAGATACAGGAGCCTTCTTGCCAGAGACCAGCTGTTTTGAGGATTGAAGTGAGAAATTCCTTCTCTATACTTAGAGCAGATGTTTTGAGAAACATGCTGTATTTGGTGTGTTATTGATAGTGACATGAAATTGTCTATACCACTACTATTCGTAATGTAAATATGAAGTTACAGCCTGCAGCATTAAGACTGAAAACAATAAGAAGCAGATTGCTTTGATCTGGCCATTGTCTGTTTTCACATTTGGAATATTCTAGGACAGCCATATAAGAGACCAGTGTGCTTGTAGTGTTTAAAATGCAGTAAAATATTTTTGGAAGGAACTGATTTTGATTAACTTTTCAAATGAACAGTTGATAAACCATATGTTACAAAGCATCAATTTGAACTGGATAATGCTGCATATACACAATGTAGGAAAAACAATAAACACAGGGTAAAGAAAGATGTTCTGGTTTGGAGACCATCACTATACGTGTACAAGATGTTATAAACTGGATGTGCTCTTGTAGCTGTTAGACTGGGACGTGGGTGCAAATGGGAAGAGGAAGGGCCAAGAGCGCACCTTCCCTGACGTGTCGCTCTTCTGCCATTTCAGCTTCAAAATGAACACCGGTGTCGGTGTAAGATATTGTTGTCCCTTTGGTCTTCATCGTGTTGCTGGTCTGCCTTCCTCAGCTGAGTTTAGCACTTAATCTGTCTCTTGAGGTGTGGGTCCTCCTCTTTGCTGTAGCACTGGAGAAACTTCTCTATACCTCTCTTTGGCTTCTTGTATTACAGAGGGAGGAATACACAGCATACTGTATGGTTGAATCTTGTGGTTCTCATGCCCAAGGAGGTCAGTCAGAAGCCTTAGTACATGCTTGGCGTTCTCTTCACACTTCCTTTTCCCCTTTTGTTTACAGACATAGATTCATAAGCAGTCTGAGTCCTGCAGCTCATCCACCAGACTGTCTGCTGAGCTCCTGCGGGGTTGCAAGCACAGAGTCTCTAGTCAGAGAGCCCTTTTCCTCCTCCTTGAGAGCCTCAGTCAGAAGTGTAAAAAGAATGTGATTTTTGGTAAACCTGACCCTCCCCAAGGATACAAATTCACTGAGATGATCCATGTGTTGGTGCACAATCTCATTGTGCTGTAGTGTTCCACTAGATTGTTGCTGATATAGGCCTGAAGCACTGTGTCTCTGTTCACCAGGGAATGGGCGAGTCAGTCTCCAGGTTAGTGCCTGAAGCAGCAGGGACTTAACGTCTTTGTGAACTTTGACCTGGGTCTTTCTTCAGCTTCTCATAGCGAGGGCAGCATTGGACCTCTGTGGGCTAATAGATGCTCATAGCATCGAGGAGGCTTGAATTTCACAAGTCTTCTGGTGTCTGAGGTACTTAAGGCTTGGGAATGTTCTTGCCTTTGCTTTTGTGCTCCTTGTCAAAACTGCGAACAGTCTCTTCAAATTTCTCAAACTGGGGGTACTCCTTTGTCATCTCAGCAAGTTCGGCTTCACTTGCCAAGATGTCACCCATCTTGGCTGCCTCCCTGGAGCTCATATGAGTGAGTGTTCAAAACCTTTAAAATATCTACTGACAGCAGAACCTCTATGGTGTGCTTCTATCTGGTGACAGAATGGTTATAACAAATAGATTATTTCCAATTAATTCTTCACAAGAGAGCAAATAAAATACTTCACAAACTATCAAACAGTTTTTTTTATATTAGCCTGATGTGTCCTTGGTCGACTGGCTCGGTTGAGTTCAGACAGCTCTGTTCACTGGTTGTAGAAAGGCTGGTTTTGTTTGTGTGTGTGATGCTACTTGAAGGAGGTCTGCATCCTCCTCCTCCTCCTGTAAATGCAATGGGATTGTGGCAGACTAGGATATCCTAAAGGAGAAAACCTCTCTTTCGTGGAATATTTCTGATGTCTCTTTTTGGTGTGTGTCCCCTTTCAGAGGTCTTTTTTGACATGCTTTTTTTCTCTGTCCTAAGAGTTAGAATCAGCTGATTTTGTAGTGCAATTTGGCATGGCTAATGAAGATGCCATTGTTTTAAATGTTCTAGGTGAAGCCAAAAATGGAGACATTTGTCAGTACAATCTGGTTTATTTTGAGATGTCAGCCTCCTTGTTGGTCCAGCAATGTATGACCAACTTATGATGCTAGTCTCCTCAGGATCACGCTATGACATGCCAGACCATAAAATCTAAATGGAAAAACAAATTCCCTTTCCTTGGTTTTACTCAAGGAAGGTGGTTAATCAAAGGTCAGGATGATGTGTGTTCTCTTTCTTTTGTAAGAACTGTGGGGCAAAACCTACAACACAGCTGCTGGTGTTGTATACAAGCCTGTGTCCTGTTTAACGAACCCCCCTCCCCTCCCTTCGCCATTCATGGGTCCCAAGCAATCCCTTTGCTGCTAAGGTGCTCTGGTCTGGTGTGTGAAGGGACTGACAGGCAGCTTTTGACTGTCAGTTGTTTTCCTCCGACTTGAGGTCCATCTATCCTCTGTAACCTGCCTGTGAACCACTGAGGGCTTCAGACTGCACAACAAGCTCCTGTGTGTGAGAGCTCGTGATGTTTTCGCCACTATGGTCTCACTCTTCACTCAGCAAACTGTTAACAATATACTTGGATGTCATTATTGTTTGCGATATAATAAAAGAAGTAAAATCTGCACCTTTGCTGTCCGGTTCATTTGTTTGAAGCTGTCAGTTCCTGAATATCAACTAGTGTCTTTTGAACAATAGAATATTTGGAATAAATGGGAGGTAAATTTCAATGTGTGAACTTGAGTAATAGTTCATTTGAAATTGCACTGATACAATTGACTGATGGGCACACCCAGAACATTTTAAAAATTATTCTTAGAAAAATCATGTGTATAGTCAAACATATCTTTAGATATAAACATGAGTAAACTTTTTAAACTAGTTTATAATGTTGAAAAAAGCAAAAGTGTTATAAAAGAAAGCAGTGTACAATTTGAAGTCGGGCCTACTAATTGGTCAGTAGTGCACAGACACATGCATAAGCTGTTATATTTTTTTTTTATACATTAATTTTAATTTTCCCAACTTATTAAAAACCTACTTGAAGACCCCAGATATTGTAGTCCTATGAAAATCTCCGTTTATTATAGGCATTAAATAATATAAAAGGAAGGTAGACTGAAATTATGACAATTTTAAGCTGTGTACTAAAATTGTCATAGTGTATATCTTTTGTAAAAGATGAACGATTTAGCTTTAACACGGTTTACGGTATTCATTTAGTGACGTCATCACGCACCTGCGTTGAGGAATTACGTCCAGGGCTTCCAGGAAGAGAAGTGCAGAAAGTGAAAACGTTTGGACAACGTGAGTTTGTGCATTTCCCCCCTAAACAGTTGTTTAGTTGAAATAGTTGAGTCGCAAAATATTAAAGAGCGTCACTACGACAAGATAAAACTACTGTAAAGGTAAGCAGGAGCAAGTATTAGCTTTAGCTTCTAGGATTAGCTTAGGGTTAGTGCTTCGCAGTAGCTGTGTTACTTTTGCTCCGGTTTGAGAAGTGAAAAAAATTTGTTCCCAACTTCAACGTAAAGTGAAATTAGCTGAAGCAGTTTAGTAGATGTTTTAAACGTATCTTTAGTGCCACTACAAACAGTAGATACTTGTTGGGAGCGATTTTTTGTGGACGGATAATGTTCATACTTTCCAGTGTAAAGTGTTTAATAGTTCGTCAGCTTTTCACGTCGGCATTTGCGTTTTGTAAACCAGTGTTTTGCGATGGTTTTGTGTCTGCTGGTGCTTCAGGTCTACCTACAACCATCTTTGTGTTTTCCCTGAAATTAGGGCCCTGGACATGGCTCTGAACAAGTCCATGCATCCCCGGAACCGTTACAAAGACAGACCACCGGACTTCGCCTACCTGGCCTCCAAATACCCAGAATTCCGGCAATACGTGCACACCAACCTCACAGGACGACCCGTGTATGTACCTGACACTGTGTGTGTTTATCACTTTTTCTTGCTCCTCTTGTTGTTTCTGGATCTATTCTCGTCTCACATGGGCCAGTCAGTTTGTTTTAATAACACCCTCATCCAACTCTAAAGCCTGTAAATGTAAATTAACGAATCTTAATATATACAATACATCACCAGATTTTTTAAAAGGCTGTGAGCATAAATAAAAAAAAAAACAAAGCACTCCCTTCCACTCTCCAGCACTTCCTGTTTGAGCCACTGGTCCTGGCCCTAGTTATAACCCCATAATCAATATATCTGTATATGCATGCGCCACACCACTGGTAGATATAGTGGTTGGAAACCTTTGTGAGACATTTAAGTTCAAGTTAAAGTGATTGTTTCATAACATTCGTGGTGGGGAACAAGATAGAAATTTGCTCCCAAAAATATTCAACAGCGGCATTTCCAAATATGCAGGCAACCCCTAACTAATTTCATGGCAAAGCTTATAATACGGGGCACTGTCAGCTTTGTCATGTATTTTGAAATGCAACAGTTAATGGTCCAATATAATGTCATAGCCTGTTTCTACATTGTTTTCCTAATTTATTGATGTAGATAAGTGAGCAAGATCTCAAGTCACTGTCTGCAGTGGTCAAAGAGTGGCTTTCTCATCACTGACTGTACCTGTTGAGTTTGTTACTTTGCCTGATGTTTTTCCCACCTTGTAAATTACTAAATAGATTTCAGTGACTGTCCTGGGTTAGAGCTGGGCTGGGCGAAGGCCCCAACTAGGTAGCAGCAATTCTGGGAAGGTTCGTTCCTCTTTCGGCTCTAACGGCATGTCTTTGGGATGAATTCTAATACAGACTGAGAGAGGAGCACATTCATGTTGTCCTCTAGTCACTGATAACACACATTGTGTTTTTTTTTTTTTTTTTTTTTTGGAAGTGGTTGCTGAAACATTGCCATTTCCCTTATGGGTTAATAAAGGTCCATCTATCGATCCATCCACATTAGTACTGAGGAAAGAACAAGTTGGATTAATACATCCCTAATAATTGAGAGAAACTCAGAGAATCTCTATGTGTCAAATAGTGCAACGAGACCACTCAGTGAAGGTGCACCTGCACAAAAAGCTTGATGAAATTCAGGTTTAAACATCACTGCTCCTTGTTTTAACTAACTAGTATGTAAGTAATTTGTCTTTCAGAATCATTTTCACAGATCTAAGAAATAATTAACTAAAAGCAAATTTTATATTGAAAGGTAATTTTCTTGAATCTGAATTTAGTTTTCTTCATTTTAGTCTGGTGTCAACAGCTGCAACTGAATATTAAGTTACAGAGATATAGTACACATCCTGGTCAATTTATTAATTATTCATGACGGTTCCATTTGGCAAAACTACTGGCTGTAGGTTTTGGCATGATTTTAGACTGAGATTTTCAACAGTCGCGTCGTTTTGGTCCAGGTCATATGGTTTGTTTATGTCGGACATAACACTGCAGTTCATGCAGCATTTTAGTAAGATGTTAAAAATTACCCCATCAACACAACTGGAAAAATGGGGTTTGTTCAACTATTAATGAGTAATACGCAATGGTTTTTTGTGTCAAGTATGTAACAGGATGCGATAGTGGCCGGAACATTAGTACTGCATCAGTATTACTGGGAAATAATGTTCCTTTATATACTGCTTTAGGTATGAAAAAGGACCCGTGTCGCTGCAATGCCACTGAAAACCAGACTCTATGGGTTATATTCTGTACGTGTTATTATTGCTGAGCTGCCTGACTGCTGAGTCTGTCTCCGGCTGTAGTTACCACATATGACGTAGTTTCACAGACAGGACAGGAGGGGCAAGGAGGCACATTGCCATTCTTACCCATCAACATACAATCAATGACCCATAATGACAAAGCATAAATGTGTTTGTAGAAGTTTTAACAAATCTATTAAAAATTGAAGTCTCTCATTTACAAAAGTATTTGGTCTTTTTGCTGTAGCCCTTTAAATTCTGGCCAGGTGCCCCTCCCCTCAAGTTCCTGGAACTTGATTTAGTACTGCCTCTAGAGGGGTGCCAAAATTTAGCTCCATGAACGAACTCCCAAGGTGTGTGAAGGGCAGTGTAAACTAACGCAGAACCTGGGACAAGGGGTCCACTTTCCACTACAGGTTGGTAGGTTCCAATAGTAGAAACAGTGTATTTGACTAAAAGGTATATTGTGACCTGCTTGGTGTTTGGAGGCATTTAAAAGACTCTGAGAACACCAGGCACCACACTATTACCACAGTGTAACAGAGTACAGCACAACAAACTACAGCCTCCAAAATAATCATAGTTGATTCAACACGTCTAAAATGGTTTCAACAAAACTGAACATTATATGAAGGGAGGATTTATTGTTGCATTAGACTGCATTAGTTTTAGCCTGGTGTACTCAATACACTACACTACTTGAGCCGTCCCTGGTAGGCTAGTGGTTAAGGCGCAGTGCTCTCACCACTGCGGCCTGGGTTTGAGTCAGAGAGGGCATCCGACATAAAACACGTGCCAAATGTCAACATGCGAGTTGTCAGTGTGACTATTCGCTGTGGCGACCCCAAGTGACTTTCTTACTCAGTACAGTACTTGGTGTATATTCTGTCTCCCTCTCTTGGATTGCTAAGTTTTGCTGCAGTGCTCCCAAACTATCCCTCAATGCTTCCAGCAAGCTACGTCCATGACAGAAGTTGTGGGTGTTTGCAGAACAGGCCATAAAGGTGTAATATTTTGGTGTCCATTATTCTTTTGGTCATATCAGTGAATTGGTGCAGCACAAAGAGCTTTACACAAATATGCTGGCCTAGCTCATTCAAACCCCGAGGATCCCATTCAGCAGTGCTCATGTCCCAGCTTACTCCCATTTTTACTGCTCATTCAGCTTCTGACAACAGCAGGCAGAACCACTTTAGACACATGATTAATAGACTCACCGTCAAGTTTTTTTTTTGCTGCCCTGCTTCTTTTTTTAGGGAAACTTCACAAAGGATGTATAAGTGCCAGTCTAAACCAAACTCCCAGTTTTAGAAGTAGGTTAGTGTGTCAGCCAGAAATGCCCAGTCAGCTTCCTGAAGCTTCAAACTGGAAACTGATTATATAAATGTGCCCTTCCCTGCAAGATGCTGCTGTGAAGTCCTGATGTGAGAAAGTCCAGGCAGGAGAACAAAGGAGGAATATGTCTGGTGGGATTAGTGGTGATGTCAAATGGTTTGAGCTCATGGTTGCTGCTGCTGTGAAAAATAAACTGCTCTGTGTGAGGAGATGTGGCTAATAAAGCAATCATAAATGAAAGTGTAGGCGAGCAGCAGTTAGGCCTGTGTGATATAGACTAAAAATATATCACAATATTTAACTATTTTTGTGATATGACAATGCAAAAATAGTACTAACAACTATCATTTTGGCCCATCAACATGGTCTTAACAGTTGCGCAAACAAACGGTTATCCACAATGTACAGCTTAAAGGATAACCAGTTTTTAATCTGCTGTGTTTCCACTAAATGTGTGGGTATAGTGACTTTTTAGCTAGCACTGATTTTGCTGTCTCTCTACCACCATTGTGGAGATTTGGGGAACTGAGGACTTCCGTTTTGAGGAGGCTGTGGCGTAGGGGTAGAGGGTTTGTCTCCCAGCTGGAAGGCTGGAGGTTCCAATGGCGGTGCCTGCAGTCCTTGTGTCTAAGTGTCGCTGGGCAAGACACTAAACTCCAAGTTGTCCCCGATGGGCAGAGCAGCACCTCGCAGGGACAGCGCTGCCATCGGTTTGTGTGTGAGAGAGTTGGCGCTGCAGATGCCTGCCACAGGTTCTGTACAAATACTTGGTGTGTGTAACATATTTGGCTAAATAAAGTGAGTGTCATTATCATTAAACAGCAATCACAGGGGCAGTGTTAGCCTCAGAATAAACATGATTGAAGTCAGATCATTTTTACCCACATTATTACTTTGTCATTAGTTTTATTTCTAATTTTTAAGTGTTACAGAAGAGCCAGTGTTATACTTTTTTTAGACAAGTGTAAGCTAACATTGCATGTTGTTGCTATAAAGTTTGCTCTCAGGTTTGTCAGAATACCTTTACCTCTTTTGCTGCAGCTTGCACTCAGTTGTCAGTTTATTAGGACACTGAGCTCAACCACTGACTGTATATTTAAAATGGACAAACCCTCCGTGATGTCACCTGTTGGTTTTCTGAAGAGCAGTTTTGAAGCTCAAGTCTGGCCGTTGCCATATTGGTAGCACTTCACTACCGCCTGCTACGGCTAATCCAAAAATGTGCAAAGAGACTGTTAGGTATTTTTAGTCAGATAGATATTGGATAGATACTTTATGTATTAGAAATGTTTAGTGGAGATAGGATGTCTAGTTAGACTGTTAAATGCTTAGTCATGCTTATGAGTTTCTACAGGGTACATCTAGTCAAGGATAACTAGAGAGAAGAGTTGATGACTGTCAGCAGACAGGATGTTTAATATTATTATTATGACGTGTATAACTGTAGCCTTAGCCATAATATGTTCTTATGTTTAAGTCACGACATGTTACTAGAGGTCGTGAGAATGTTTTTAGCTACACACCACTTAACCAACAGACACACACACACATTGATTTACTTCATGTTTTGACTACTGCTATGACCAGCTGCAAAGCTGGTAACAGAGACGTCTCGGTTGACGTTTCTGTGTAGTATGGGGCTAGCCCAACCGAGGGGATATAATGTATAGGCCTGGTGGGTTCAGGGTCTTTCATCTTACATCTGCCTGCGAACAGTTTGGAGGTGCAAGATACCTGAGCGTGTAAGACGAAGCGGAGCTCTGAGCTAGAGAGCTAGCGGCCAGCCATCTATGGTGAGACTGGCGTGCCTGTCACTCCAACATGTTTATCCCTGCTGTAAAGTTGTCCATTTTAACATGGGAGTCGACTCCCTTTGGATCCAGCCTCAAGTGGCCAGTCAAGGAACTGCGGGTTTCGAAACTTCCGC